CACAAACTACAAATGGCAAAACGTGAGACTATCTCCTTATTTAGATTATGCTAGATGGATCTCCTTTTATTACTTGGGTTCAAGAATGCTTGAAATGCTCAGGAATAAATGTGAACACTATCTGCTGAAGAAGGTAAGAATTTTGATAATTAGCTTACATATTTAAACATAAGTGTTTTGGCATACTCTCAAAAATGTAAAAATAATTAAATCTTATGTTATATACATATAACCACAATATCCATAATTACATCACCATGGCTTGAAGTCCACAACCCTGGCTTGCAACCATAAGGCAGCTTTAACGTAATACATACTTATCAACTGTTTTGACTGAATAAGTCATGTCATACACATGGAAAATTAGTAGATATTGCTAGACTTCCACAAAGCATAATACATGCCAGAAATATGACATACTGAAAGTGCTCTGCAACTAAAAATTACAAAACGTAGTATAGACTGCGTAGACTAAAATAGCTTTCAATTGCAATGAGATTCTGACGTGTAATGGTATGGATGAATTCTGAAGGCATCATATTAATTGTAAAGAGCTGGACACAGAAATAAAAATACTGTAATAGTTCCACTTTTCGTGACATAAAATAGACAATTTTATAGGCACAGCATATAGAGTTTACTAGGGCCTGATGGATCCATCAGAAAATGATGGATTAGTATTTAATGCACAAAATATCTGTTCAGGATGATGAAAAATTTCTGTGAGTGGTTAGCATGGGGTTTGCACACATTGCGAATGAATGTAATTAAATGGGTTTAAAATGGTGAACTGATGCATTATATTACTTTTAAATTCTACATAATTAAATTACTATACTAATATTAAGACTCATAAAACATGTACACAATATATGTTACATATACACACGTTTTAGTTTCTTCTATGTGTGTACCCTTTGTCACATTTAAAAAATTATAAAATACACTATAAAATACAAATTTATTTCACGTGTGGGGAGATTATAATTTTTAAATGACACTTAGAGTTTTTGTGCTTATACAATGATCATATTTTGGCTAGAACCCAAAAGATTTTGGGGGGGTGTAAAAAAAATGACAGCTGAGGGTGTCCCCTTGAGTTTTTGAGTTTTGAATTTTTTTCTAGATTAGTTTTGTTCTTATCACACACCTGTTTGAAATCAAGAACAGCTAGTTCCATCCTCTTTACATTCCAGCTTGGAATCTCAATGCATTTCTATTTATTCAAAGTGTTATGTAGCTCCTTAGACTGGAAATAGTTTGGCAGATGAACATAATTTGTCATTGTTTCCTTCACTGACAAAGACAAACAAATCCCTGCAGATAGCAGTAGCAAGAATAAATTACAAGTGAAGGAGATATAAATTTTCCCGATGATAAATGGGCATGTTTCAAGGTGGACGACGACAATCAGCTTCTTCCCTTGCTCGTCTGCACGTCTGTCAGCGCTGGATTCTGAGTCTGAGTCCCTGAGTCATGAAACACTCATGAACATTTGCCATGGAGTCACATAGCAGGGCATTGTTACATTGGCTCTGGGCATGCACTGATTTCAGCCCCACTCTGTTTTTCACGTCTGTGGGTGATAAGGAGACAGTACACATTCCCACGGAGGTTCTAGACGAAGAGAACTATAGGGATTTAGACAAAGGAGAAGAGAGCTTATCTCATCAGAGAGGGCTTCATGGAAGAGGCAGTGGCAGCTATGAACGCATTTCAGGACAAGCACCATAGCTAAAGAAACTGGTAAGGATTCCGAGCCTGGTATTCAGGAGGCACACACTGGACATGAGTTTCTGTTTGGCTGGCATGGGTGACTGTGAGAGGGACAGAGAAAAGCTGGAAGAGCTATCACCCTGCATGGTAGGAATTACCCATCATAACAACTCAAAGGAGGGACGCATTACAGAACTCTAGCAATCCAGGAGCCGGGTTAATGTTCAAAGCAGCTTTGTCTGTCTGTCTGTTTGAGACACGGTCTCATGCTTTAGCCCAGCGGAGCCTAACACTCCAATATAATACTGTTTTCTCTGCTCATTTTTAGTGGAAGCACTGGATGAAAAAGAACAGCATTTCTTCCTGTCTTTTCATTCCACTTCTCATTATTTCGGCATAAGGCTATTTCAATTGTATGCATGGCAGAGGTACAGCACAACATGTTCTTTTGTCACGAAAAGTCGCCTCTGACCTTTCGGGTTGGCCCTGCTAAGCTTCTGATAAGAAGGCCTTCAAGAGAGTGTTCATGTGGCTGGCAAGCAATCGACTGGCTTCAGTTCTATCACGTCAAACTTGCAGGACCACTCGCAGCTCAATCTCCATTCCTCCTTCACTTCTAAATACCAGCTGATTAACTCCTTATCCTGAGAAAAGTGTGAAGGAAAGGAAAAAGGGTATGTGTGCATGTGTGTGTGTGTGTGTGTGTGTGTGTGTGTGTGTGTGTGTGTATACATCTGTGTGTATCTATGTATGGGGTGTGGGTGTATCTGTGTGTATGTACATGTGCGTGTGCTGTGTGTGAGTGTGTATGTTAGTGTATCTGTGTATTATGCTGTGTGTATGTGTGTACACGTGTGTATGTGTGCGTATGTGTCTGGACACGTACACACAGCTCTGCTTAGAGCTGTCTGAATTTATAAATATTTCTCAAAACTGTTTAAACACACAAGGTCCATATCAGGAGTTTCTTATGTGCCGCATCCTCCTGAGTTGTACCCGAACGAATGAAAAGTACATCTTTAAGTTGATTTCTGGATTTACTTTTAGCGGATTAGTTTCACCCATGAAAGCATTGGCCGGCACCCTGCCAGCTCACTAAGTACCATCCCCTTGATCCTGAACCAATGCATTGCTGGATAACTCAGTTTCCTCAGAGGCCATGCCAAGCAGCATAACCTTTGAACTTTTAAGCACCATGGGGTTGTGCTCAGGCATCTCTCCCTTAACCAAAGCATGTGGTCCTTAACAACATGAGAATTGTTTGCTTCCTGTAGGATCGTGTGATCATTACATAAGTGTTCTCCAATTAAGAATCCATTGAGCTAAGTTTATTAAATGAATTATTTATATTTATCATTAGCTATTTTTTTTAGAAAAATGATTGATTTGTTAACTATTTTAAAATTAAGAAAGGTAATGGAAGTGAGGACTTTTCTTTCAATCTTATTCTTTGTTTCCTTTATTAGATGTGAGCGAGTCAGAATTCTAGAGTCTCAAGTGTTTACTGTGTGATATGGAAAAGTATTCAAGACACAGTAACAACAATAAACAAACAGAAATGCCATCCAGTTCCTCAAAATCCCAGAGGCAGTTCCTGGAGTGGGCCTCTTTGAGTGTCACCCCTCCTTCTGCCCAGATACTGAAGGTAGAGACGAAGAAACAAATTCAAATCTTCCTAGAGAGAATTTCTCAAAGGAGAATTTGTGACTAGAAAAATACCCAATACACACTGGAATTAGCCTGACTTCAGAGAGTCTGTGACACTGGGAACGGATATAGTCAGACATGTAATTCTTTAGGTTAAATTCCCTCCTCTTTTTCATTGATTTTCCTTTATACTGAATAAAATGGCATGGCTGTGGAGTCAAAATGCCTTTCTGGTTTTAAGCGTGGAGATGACAGATCTCCTTTTAAATGGAATACTGGCTGATGAGCTCTCCACAGTCTGGTCTACTAAAACTGTTCTGTTGGTGAGGCACACATTTCCAGTGCCCACAACAGCCATCTTAACTGCTTCTCATCTTATTCAGACGTATGTCCCCGAGTGAGAGAAAGAACTTGAGTTGTGTGTGTGTGTGTGTGTGTGTGTGTGTGATGCTGTGTGTGAGGGAGAGTGGGGGACCTCTGTGTGAGGAGGCAAACTTGGAATGCTCAAATATTCCAAGCCTGGGATTGGGCAGACCCCTGTCTTTCTGTCTGCCAATAGGAAAGCCCCAATTTGAGGTTATTGGGGAATCCTGGGGCAAACACACTATTGGGGTTTTGGAATGGTTGCCCTAAACTCCGAGAGCTAATTTTCTTACACCACAGCTTAACTAGAAATATTTTGATAGAACCGGATAGCATTCCCAGTTTTCCCCTACCTGTGTATGCAGAGAGAACTGCCCGCATAGCCCAATAAATTCTGCTGTTCCACTCAAGCAAGCCTTTATTTAGGTAGCCAACCAGAGAGACTGCAATAGATGTAAGAGAAACCCACGTCGGTCCTGAGCTGAAAGAAGGGCATTTTGTTCTGTTTTTGAGAAAAGTACACCTTATTATGTTAAAGACATAACCAATAAGGAACCCTGTGGGAAGCAATGCCCTTCGTGGGTCCTTGATGAAGTCAGTCATGGAACTGAAAAAGGGGGTAGGAGACGACGAGCTGACCTGTGACTAGACACAGCATCTCTGAAAATCAAAGAACTGATTGGCAGAGAAGATGGAAAATAGAGGGAGAAGCTCCCAAGTGCAAGCAGAACTCAGGCGGGGAGCGAAGTTTCCCTTCCATTCTGACTCCCAAAGGCACAGCACCCACCGAAGCAAGCAGGTGTTCTGACATTGAAATGAGTGAAGAGGCAATACCCTGATACCGGGGACTACAGAGGACCAAGGAGGACATCGAGAGGTGAGGTTACGGATTACTTCCCCAACTGCTTCCAACGACCAAGGACGCGCTGCTCCCAAGCCAGGGAGTGAAGGAGTGACAGTGAAGGCAGAAGACACAAAGGTAAAACGGGCATTCAGATGCTTTTACATTCCTAGTCCTCCTCAGCATCTATACCAACCTGCCACGGAAACGGTTGATCACCTTTAAGAACAGGAGGCTTGGAAAGCCCCTTTGTTTGCTCAGAACATCTCTTTTCCCACCTCCAACGCGAGGCTGAGCAACCTTTCAGTCCCTCGCTCCCTTTCCCACTGCAGAATGCAGCAGGGTTAGTCCTTCTTTCTAGGGTCCTACAAAGCCGGTCACCAAGCAGGCGGAGAGCCCGGCTCAGGGCGGCGAGCGCGGGCCGGCGGCTTACCTTAGGGATGGAGAGCGGAGTCCGGGCTGCCCCGGGCTGCAGTCCTGCCTTGTGGCCGCGCGTGCTGGGCTCTCCGGGCTCGCACGGCCCCCGCCCCACCTGCAGCTGCAGCCGCCGCTGGCTACTCTAGGCCGGTCGCATGAAGTCATCCCCCGCCGGAGCGGCGCACTGTGTGCGGGCCGCGGGGGGGAGGCTCAGCGCCCTGGGTCTCCAGCAGCCGCGTCTGCCAGCCGCACCCGAAAGACGCCGCTTCCCGAGGTGGAGGCTGATTTTCTGTGGACGATTTTACCGTTGCCGGATGGTGCAACAAACCAGAAGGGACCGACAGACTTTCTGTGCAGAGCTTCCTCGCTCTCTGCGCTCCCCTGTCACTGGGGCTGTTTGGACAGCTCCATCTGACTGAGTGGGTTTCCCACCCTCTCCATCTTCCTTATCAGTACTGTTCATTTCGCTGAATCGAGGGCTGATTGTCTATTGAGATAAACAGTCAAATACTCTGAAAAAGAATTTAAATGGGCAATTGTTCTTTTTAAAACCCCGCAAAGCACGATTAACTTGATTTTAACACACACACACACAGAGAGAGAGAGAGAGAGAGAGAGAGAGAGAGAGAGAGAGAGAGAGAAGAGGAGAGAGCCAAAGCAATTATGAAAGCTGAACGTTTTGGACCTTTCATTTCCTTGCTATTGTGATGGAATAGGGTTTTTCCAAACCAATGAAGAGGAACAGAGCAGAGAAATCACCCAAGGACACAGAGAAGGCTCATCCCAGGATTTAGTGCTGTTGGCTAGGGCTTCCCAGCCCTCTCCCTCTGCTCCTCTGTACCCTCCAGTCCGTGCTTTTTGGGCAGACTGCCTAGGCAAAAGCTGCAATATTTGAGAAGCCAAGAGGCAGAATTCACATCCGCAGATGGCTGTAACTCCCAATGGACTTCTCAGAATTTCCCTCGGCGATTAAGTAGACATTGATGCATGCACAGGAGCCTCTTGCCCCTTTAAATTGGCACCAGCTATTAAGGTTGTTTTCTCTCTCCATCCATGCTCCCCCTTTTGTTTCATTCCAAGATACTGAAAAGTTCCTACTCCCTATCAGTTCCAGATAGGAGGCAGCAGTGGAGCCAACAGAGTTAATAAACAAAACAAAATTAATAATTCAGAATTTGGGGTGTGGGCTGTATGCGCTTGCAATTTGGGACATTAGTCCATATCTGAGACCCATTTTCCTTAGAGTAAGCCCTTCAATCCTCTTACAGACTGCTGAATTCTTTACTGGCATCCCAGAGGCATATGCACCTAGTTCACAACTGCAGAATTAAGTTTCATTAATGTCTAGCTGACATTAGCGTTGAATATGTACTTTAAACATCAATGTGGGTAAAACCACAAGAACAGTGAGCATACTGTAATGGCTCCACTATGAGAAATAATGAATAGTCAATGCAGTTTTTATACCCAGAACAACATATTGGTACTTTTCAGTCTTTAATAGTACCATTTTTAGCACATTGAGGAATTGAGGAATTAGTACAGATTCCCATATGTCCCACTCCCAATGTCCTCTACCGTGAATATCACACAGAAAAAAGCAACTTCCTTTTAATTAATAACATTACTGACACTCATGCATTAGCTAAACGCTATCTTTTATACAGGTTTCTTTACTTTTTCTAGCATCTTCAATTCTTTTCTACATTGCTGTCCAGGATAACATATTATATTTAATTGTTATATCCTTTAAGATTAGTTCAAACTGTGACAGTTTCTCAGGGAAAAGGAAAATCAAAACAACTCTGAGGCTCCATCTTACACAGGACAGAATGGCTAAGATAAAAAACTAAAGTGACAACACATGCTGGTGAGGATGTGGAAAAAAGAGCACTCCTTTGCTGGTGTGTTGGGTGTGGCTCTGCTGTTTTATTTTGATGCTAATTACTAGCTCTCAAGATCTGGCTACACCAGTCCTTATTTTGTAAACCTGCCTAAGGCATTTTACCCGATTCATTGATTAAAGGCCTGTACCTGGGTAAGGCAGAATGGTGTGACTAAGGATCCCAGGTTTTGAGGACAGGAGACTCACAGGAAGGAGACAGATGGGAAGAGAGGAGGAAGGAGGAGGGCACGATGACTTGAAAAGGCCCGGGTGAATAATAAAACCAAGTATTTATAAGATTATGGATGGAAGATATTTCAGAAGAGTATAGATAGGGAGAATGGCAATGGATGGGGGCTGGGAGGTGGATGGTGAGGTTATTGAGACAGCGTATGTGAAATATCTCCCTGGTCCAAGGTAAATAACACAATTATAAAATCTAACATGTGTCTGTGTCTTATTATTTGTGAGAGTGGATTATATAATACCACTGTGATAATCTCTGAGCTAATAGCCCCAAACTCATTTTCATTTACTGTACCACTGGTGGGAGTGCCAACTTGTACAACTGTGGAAATCAATCTGTTGGTTTCTCAGAAAACTGGGAATAGATAGACCTCAAGACCCAGCTATAGCACATCTGGGCATATACCAAAAGCTGCTCCACCATAAGACTTGCCCAGCTATGTTCATAGTAGTTTTATTTGTAATGGCCGGAAACTGGAAACAACCTAGATGTCCCTTCACCGAAGAATGGATAAAGAAAATGTGGTACATTAACCCAATGGAACACGACTCAACTATTAAAAACAAAGAAGTCATGCAAATTGAAGGCGAATGGATAGAACTAGAAAAGATCATCCTGGGTGATGTAATCCAGATCAGAAAGATACACATGGTATGTACTCATTTATTAGTGTATATTAGTCATAAACTGCAGGGTAACCATACTATAATCCACAGACCCGGAGACCCCTAGGAGTGCTCAAGGGAGGACGCTTGAATCTCACAGAGAAGAGGAAATAAAATAGACATCTAAAGTAGATCTGGGGGGAGGGAGATGGGTTGGGGATCAGATGTGGGAGAGCAGGTATGGGAGGGTGTGGGAGGACTGGGAGAGATAAATGAAATCCATGAGGGGTCATCTCTGGGACAGGGGAGGGTCCTGGGAGTCTACGGAGATGACCCTAGATGAGATTCCTAGGATTAAGGAGCTCAAAGTCGCCACCTCCTGTAACCACGTGGGACTTCCGGTGGAGGGAGGGGGACACCAACCTACCCACAAAACCTTTGACCCAAAATTTGTCCTGCCTACAAGAAGTGTAGGGATAAAGATAGAGCAGAGGTTGAGAGAATGGCAGACCAATGACTGGCCCAACTTGAGACCCACCCCATGGGAGAGAGCCAACCCCTGACACCATTAATGACACTCTGCTATAATTGCAGACAGGATCCTAGCATAACCGTCTTCTGAGAGGCTTCAACCAGCAGCTGATGGAAACAGATGCAGAGAACCACAGCCAAACAATAGATGGAGCTCAGGGAGTCTTGAGGAAGAGTGAGGAGAAGGATTGAGGGAGCCAGGCAGGTCAAGGACACCACAAGAAGATCTACAGTGTGAACTTACCTGGGTCTGTCGGGGCTCACAGAGACTGAACTAACAACCAAAGAGCATGCATGGGCTGGAGCTAGACCTTCTACACATTTGTAGCAGATGTGCAACCTGGCCAACATGTGGATCGCCTGTCTCTGATTTTGTGGAATCCATTCTGAGAATAAGAAAAGGGGGGAAATGAGGGAAGGTGGCATGAGGGTGGGACTGGAGGAGAGGAGGGAGGGTGCTGGGATAAGGCTTTAAAGTGATGAAAGAAAGGAACAAAGAAAGAAAGAAAGAAAGAAAGAAAGAAAGAAAGAAAGAAAGAAA